ATATGGCACTGCTTGCGGGGGCCCCGGTCCGGCCATCGAGGCTAGCTCGGTATTTGTCGCACATTGCTTTTGCTTTGCCTTTACTTTGCTTTTGCTTTTGATTTTGCTTTGCTTTGCTTTGCGTTGCTTGTGCTTTGCTTTGCTGTCGCTGCTGTTGCTTTGCCTTTGCTTTGCTGCTATGCTATGCTATGCTCTGCTATGCTATGCTATGCTGCGCTGTGCTATGCTATGTTATGCTATGCTGCGCTATGCTATGCTATGCTGGGCTATGCTATGATATGCTATGCTGCGCTGTGCTATGCTACGCTATGTTACGCCATGCTGTGCTCTGCTATGCTAAAGCTCAGCGAAACTAAGAGTAAGGCAAGCTAAGTTAAGATAGACCTGAGCTAAGATGAAGCTAAGCTTAGCTAAGATGAAATAAACTAAGCTAAGAGATAAGCAACGCTAAGCTAAGGGGACGTAACTCGGGGAACCGCGGGGCGGATACCGGGGGAACCGCCCGGAGCGAGCCTCACTGCCCGGCCCCTTTAAGAAAGAGAGTAAGAACCCTCTAGGCAGAGCCTAGGTAGGGAAATATGAAGCCGGTACCCCCCCTGCCCGAAATTCGGGTGAGATTCGGGTCTTCGCGTTGGGTTGGGGTGGTTTGGTAGGTGATCAGGATCACAAGCAGGGGTGCGCAGAGAAATGCGCCCCGCGCCTCGCGGTCTGGGCTAGCGCGCTGTCCTCCTTTGCGGGGGCAGCGCGGGGGGTGCGGAGATAAGCTCGGCTCCCGCTGCGCTCGGCGCGGCGAGCTTGGATGTCCTGGGAGAGGTGATTACAGTGGAGGCCCATGCCAAGAGACACCCTGCTTGCCTCCAGGGTGCCCTGGGTTTCTTGGGTGTCGATGGTTTTGCGATGGAAGGCGTGACGTTCCCACACCCAGAATCAATGGACGTCCTGGGGTCGCAGGGCTGGGTTTCTTGTGAAAGGTTTCTTGTGGACTGGTCTCCATTGTACGTTGCATCCTCGGGGGACCTCGCCTGTCCCCCAAATTGGTGTCTTCTCTTGTGCCCGACGCGGGCTCGATGCGGACCCGACGCGGATTTGGCGCGGATTCGACGCGGATTCAACACGCATTCGACACGGACCCGACGAGCCCGACACGGATTCGACACGGATTCGACGCGGATAGGGCCGCGACGGGACAGACAAGGTCCCCCGAGGATGCCACGCAAAGGTGATGATGAGATGCGGAGGGGGATTCAGGGCGTCGGGTCGGCTCCCCAGGTGGCGTGGTCGGGTGTGCCGCCTACGACAGGCGAGCGGAGATCCGCTCCTACGTCAGCGGCCGCCTTGGAAACCTCCCCCACCTCGGCAAGCTCTACTGCACCGGCGGCCACCTCAGCCAGCATGCCCCAGCGAGGGCCCAGGCGCCCCCCCATCCCGCCCGGCCCGCCCCACCCACCCCCGCCCCCCCTCCGCGCTCTCCATCTCGCCCCCGTTCCCGCCTCCGCACCCTTCCCCCCCTCCCCCCCCCTGTCTCCCTTTCCTGCTGTTTCCCTGTACCCCCTTGACCTGATCTCCCCCGATCCCCGCCCCTTCATCCCTTGCCCGCTCCCCCGAGTCGTATTTGGTATTGTCGCAGGGGTGTTCGGCCCGGCTCGGCGCAGATCTGTGACCTCGCCAACCCACTTTTGGAAATCCATCTGACGCCCAAGAGGCGGGAGTATCCCCATAGGCTTTCCATGGTTTAGTAGCGTGCAGTTGTTGTGACTCCTTGCGTTTGATCCGATTCCGATTCCGATTCCCCCCCCTCCATCTCTCCCCTCCTCCGCCGGCCCCTCTTCCCCTGCCCCCCCCCCGACGCCCCTCCTCCCGCCCAGGGCGTGGAGCGGGCACACGACTCTCCCCCCCTCCTCCTCCTCCTCCTCTCCTCCTCCTCCTCCCTCCTCCTCCTCCTCCTCCTCCTCCTCCTCCTCCTCCTCCTCCTCCTCCTCCTCCTCCTCCTCCTCCTCCTCCTCCTCGCGCGCCCGCGAGGCCGCCGCAGCGCCCTGCAGCACGTGCACCGGAGCGACGGGCGGCACTGGCTAGCCTGGGCGCTGGGGCAGCGCTCTGCAGGGAGGCCGTGGGGGTGCCGAGGGGCCACGGCTCGGCAGGCGAGCACCCAGAGGCTCGGGGGAGAACATAAATACCCATATTCCCGAATCCGAGGCGGAAACTTTTCCATATCCACCGCCTAACGGGTCAGTTTTCGGAGCCTCGGCAGGCGGTGAATATGGACATATTCGGGCCCCTGGGGGCCGAAACGCCCGCTGGGGTACCAGGGCGTCGGTTCCCAGGCGCTGGATATGGATAACCCCCCGCTATACACACCAGGATCCGCTCTCCAGTGCAAGTTCCAATGCAGGGCCGGAAGAAGCGTCGGTGTCTAGAGTTCGGTTCCCTACATGTTCCCGGATAGCTCCTTGGAGAGCTAAGATGGTTTCAGATTAAGAAGCGGGACTAGCAGGGTAGCCCGGGAGATCGTTTCGGCGTCGGTCCACACACCTCGGCGCAGGCTGCTTGAGCCGGAAATCTGTCCCGAGAGACCTTTTCTAAGCGTTTCCCAATATGCGTGCCCAGAAGCTCTCCAGAAGGTCCTTCGGAAGCTCTCTCCAGGTCTGGAGGAGGAGGAGGAGGAGGAGGAGGAGGAGGAGGAGGAGGAGGAGGAGGAGGTGGAGGAGGAGGAGGAGGAGGAGGAGGAGGAGGAGGAGGAGGAGGAGGAGGAGACGACGACGACGACGACGACGACGACGACGACGACGACGACGACGACGACGTCGTCTGCCTGGGCGTGTCGAGAGCAGGCGGCGCGGCGGCCCGTGGTCTGGCCAGCCCTGGCCAGGCCAGCCTCGGGGGTCCGGGCTGGCCCGGCCAGGACCTGGCGTGCGGTCTCCTCCGGGGTAAAGGGGTCCTGGGCCCCTTCGGGGGCCTTGGGTCGATGATCCTCAGGACGTGTGTTGGCCCAATGTTTAAGTCGGGCCTGTCCCTCTACAGGCGGAATATTCAAATTGTCAAAACATAGTCTGGGAACTATTTTTTAGTATAAAAACTATGTTTTGAGTATTGTTAGAGTATTTTTGTTTTTTCGTCCAAAATCCCCCTGTAGGGGGACACGCCCGACTTAACCCAAAGTGTGCGTAATCCCCTTCAGCCCAACCAGTAGATCATTACATCGCCTGCGTCGTATCGAAGGGCCTCGATGGGCAAACGCACGTTGGGGCTAACACACATTGTGAGGGCCATCGTCTGAGACGGGGGTCGATGAAAATGGGGGTCAGCCAGAGCGCGCCGGATCTTGCAGCATCCTGCAGAACCAGGATTGCATCGATCCAGGATTTTGCTCGTGTCGGGCCCTGGGACACGCTCGTTCGACACTGTTTCGACATTGTTTCGACACTTTTCCGGAAGTGCGATGGGAGCAATATAGATCTTGCAGGGTCTTCCAGGCCCTTGTAGGATCCTGCAAGAGCCCGCCTGGCCCAGGTTTGCACTGACCCGGGTCAGTGCGTCCCCGATCCCTGGCTGGGGCTTTTCTCTCCCTCTTATTGGGGGCTCCGCAGGGTAAGGGGAGGTGCAGATGCTGCCCCAGGAGTGCTCTCCCTGGCCCCCAAGGAATGCGCCGAGGCAGGAGGAGGAGGTTGAGGAGGAGGATGAGGAGGAGGAGGAGGAGGAGGAGGAGGAGGAGGAAGAGGAGGAGGAGGAGGAGGAGGAGGAGGAGGAGGAGGAGGAGGAGGAGGAGCCGTCAGGGCGGCGAGATGCCCCCCGGCCAGCTCGAGACGCCCCGCGAGAGGGTCCTCGAGCCCTCGCGGCCTGGCGCCCTCCTGCCGAGGCTCTGAGACATTTGAACTCTTGACCCTTGACCGCTCACGGCTCCTCTGCACTGCAGTCGAAGTCGATAGCAAGCATGAGCGGCCTCCCAAAGGGTAGCCTTGCGTCCCTGCCTCCTCGGTCCGCCCCGAACCACTCTCGACGGCCAGCCCCGCTCGAAGAGCCTCGGCGTGGGAGTCCAAGGGGCTTGCATCCTGATCGCGCATCCGTGCTATCAGCTTTTCTTGTGCCGTGCCTGGCCAGGGCGGGCCACCCTGGGCCCTAGGCTGGTGTACCGATCCTTCTGACCTCGGCCAGGAGGGCGCAGCACACCATGTCAGGGCCCAGAGCGGCCCCTGCCAGGCACGCTAGGGGGTGTAGAGGTGCCTTCCGCGTATCGGAGGCGATGCCACGGGCGAACAGCCCAGAGGCGGGCATTGCACGTATTCGCCTGGGGAGCCTCGCCAGAGACGTGGACCATCGGCGCTCCTGGATGCATGTACTGATCACCCTGGGCTATTCGCCCCCACCGCCGCCTCCGAACGCATCTGCGCCAGCTTTTTCGCGCACCACCGCTGCGCCCCGCAGCGCTCGTGGCCGTTCCCCACGGGGGCGGTTGTTGATGCCTCGCGCGCTTCTCGCCGCGGGCCGCGCCGTCCTTTCGCATGCGGGCGGGGGCCGAGGCGGGGCCGGCAAGAGGGGAGGAGGGGTAGGAGGAGGAGGAGGAGGAGGAGGAGGAGGAGGAGGAGGAGGAGGAAGGAGGAGGAGGAGGAGGAGGAGGAGGAGGAGGAGGAGGAGGATGAGGAGGAGGAGGAGGCGGAGGAGGAGGAGGAGGAGGAGGAGGAGGAGGAGGAGGAGGAGGAGGAGGAGGAGGAGGAGGGGAGGAGGAGCGGAGGAGGAGGAGGAGGAGGAGGAGGAGGAGGAGGAGGAGGAGGGGGAGGAGGAGGAGGAGGAGGAGGAGGAGGAGGAGGAGGAGGGGCTCTGAGGGGCTCTGATGAGACCGCGGGTCGTTCAATGACCGCTGGCATGCAAGCCGAGGCAACCCCAACGGGCCGCGATGCCAAGCACTGAGCCCGACGAGGAAAATTAATCACGACTGAGGGCCGAGGAACGATTGCAGGCGCGCAAGCTGAGGCTAGCCCAAGGCGCCCCCGACGGGGCAGACAACCTTAGGTGCCGAGGGACTCCGCGAGAGGGGAGTCACACATCGCCGCCAGCGCCTTCATCTGCCGCATTGCTTCTGAGCTGTCCGTGTCGACGAGTGCGATGATGTTCGACGCCATCTTCTCGAATTGCTGCTGCGACATTGGCGGGGCCAGAGACATCAAGCTCTGGAGAGTCAAAACTGGCCCCAATGGGCGAAGAGTGGGCAGCACAGGACGACTTGCCGCCTTTCTCGAGAAAAATCTGAGATGCCCCGATGGGCCGAGGACCAAGAGAAGCGCCGATGCGCTGAGAGCTGCGGCTATCCGCAGACTGGGACTCGGAGCTGAAGTGACCGACCTTGTCGATGTCCGTGCGGACCGCCTCGCCGATGTGGTACACCTCGATGTCGCCAGAGACGGCCGTGTCAGACACGATGTCGGAAACCATCGTGCCGTCCCCTGTCGCAACCATGTCCTTCATGTCCTGCCACCAGTCCATAAGCGGGTCTTGGTCCACCTGTTGAGCCTCTTCACCACCGTCGGATAGTCCTCCGAGTCCCACGGACAGCTGACCATCTCCTCCAGCTGCTTGCGCTGCAACGCGACGGTCTCTGGGGGTGGTGTCATCCCGCACCAGTAGCACTCCTTGCGGAAACCGAAGTTCGCCGCTGCGCACTTGCACCTCCAGATCTTCACGTAGTGCTTCGTGTTGTACCGAAACTGCGGCGATGGCACCCACGGGGTCCGCTTCTTGGGCTTGTCCACCTCCGTCATGTTCCTGCCGTCCACCTCATCCAGCGTCTCCTCTTTTGAGTACTTGCGCTTGGGGCCTGTCTTGTGGTACTTCCCCTCCTCGCAGTTCTTCTCCCCGCAGTCCGCCGACTGCTGGTGCACCTTCAACGGTGCCGGCGTCGCCAGCGGGTCCTCCGCCTCCATGGAGATCCCGCTCAGGTTGCGGATGTCCATCTCCTCGATCTTGGTCTGCAGCTCCTTCCACGAAGCCAGCTGCTCCAATTCCTGCTGGAGGTAGTTCTCGAACTGCTTCTTCTCGCTCTTGGCCGCCTACTGCTCCCCCGAGAGGTCCGAACGCAGCTCCTTCTCCTTCTTGGCGTCCTCGATGGTCTTGCGGTTGCGAGCCCGCTCCATGAGGACCGAGGGTTGATGAGCTTCACCTCGCGGCCACGGGCACCAGATTCGGCCATCTGCGCACACAACAATGCGCACTGTCGGAAAAGCCGCGTGTAAGCCCTTGCAGAATTTGCCAAGCTGGAATCCGAGCTGCTCCGAGAGGAAGCAGGCGCCGATGTGGACCACCAGCTGCTGCATCCGTTCACGGCATGGCCTGCAGCGGCTGCGGCTGCGAAGCGCGCCGCCTGTCTCCCCCGCTATCGGGGGCGGAGCCGCTAGGAGGAGGAGGAGGAGGAGGAGGAGGAGGAGGAGGAGGAGGAGGAGGAGGGGGGGGGAGGGGGAGGAGGAGGGGGGGAGGAGGAGGAGGAGGAGGAGGAGGAGGAGGGGAGGAGGAGGGAGGAGGAGGAGGAGGAGAGGAGGAGGAGGAGGAGGAGGAAGGAGGAGGAGGGGAGGAGGAGGAGGAGGAGGAGGAGGAGGAGGGAGGGAGGAGGAGGAGGAGGAGGAGGAGGAGGAGGAGGAGGAGGAGAGGAGGAGGAGGAGGAGGAGGAGGGAGGAGGAGGAGGAGGAGGAGGAGGGAGGAGGAGGAGGAGGCGGAGGGGAGGAGGAGGAGGAGGAGGAGGGAGGAGGAGGAGGAGGCGGAGGAGGAGGAGGAGGAGGAGCAGGCGGAGGAGGAGGAGGAGGAGGAGGAGGAGGAGGAGGAGGAGGAGGGGGAGGGGGGGAGGGAGAGGATGTGGACGCGTCAGAGGGTGGGTCTGCCATGTGGTGGCTTGCCGCCTCGCGCGTGCGCCTCGCGCGCGTTCAGCGGTTGCGGGCGCGCCCCACCCCCAGCGGCGGGCCGCGGGCTCGGGCGCTACCTCTCCTTCTCACGTGCGCCGGATCCTGATGGTGACGCGAATGGTTCTAGCCCCCGCCGTGACCAGATCGATGGCTCCGATTTCATTGGTGTCGTCCAGATCGTCGGCATCCCTCCTATGGAGGGTGGTTGCACCGTCTATGATTTCTTCCTCAGATTGCCAGCGTCGGCGGTCTCGAATACCGTCAGAGTCGCCACGAGGTATGTGCTTTGCCATTGCCAGTGCCAGCGCCACAGGCGAATGAGGCCTGGCCCGTGCCACCGCCACAGGCGAATTAGGCCGGGGCGAAGCTACTACCGTTGCCGAGGCGCGGCTCGAAAGTGCAGTTACGTTGAGTATGATTGGGCTGGGGATCCACTGGTCGGGGGCGGCGACTCACAGGAGACGCAGCAGTACGACACAATGGACATCAGGACCACTGTCGCGACGCTGAACGTGACATCCCTTACCAAGGCGCGCCTAGAGGAGGCGCTTCGTAATGCTTCGGAGAGTTTAATTCTACTCCTGCAGGAAGTTCGTCAACGTGAAGAACGTCCGAGATGGGTTCTTCAATGTTTCAAGGGATGGGGCTGGTCGGTGGCCTGTTCACCGCCGCCACCGCCTACACGTACGGCCGCTGTCCGCCAACGAGGGTGCGACATTGCGTGGAGGCCCAACGCGGTCGTGAAGATCTCGATCATTCGCGATGTCTCTTTCAGCCACAGGGTCGTCGGCATCAAGACTACGAACTGCATCTACCTTCCCGTCTACGGGCCCGTCACCGAGGACCGTGCCTGGTGGACAAGGTTCTTCTCCTTCGCCAAGGATGTTGCCGTACAAGGTTGCCCACTCTATGTTATTTGTGACCTGAACTGGAAAGCACGTTACAATTCCCAGATGAGTCCTGGGTGGGTGCTTCGTCCAGCTACACGTGCCACTACCACCTCAGGTACCACGCCCACGAGGTGTCTCTACTACGGGCCGCCTGTTCCATTCGTACCGAAGAGCCTTGCTGTGAATATGCTCCTTGGGGTACCCATTCATGGCATGGTCTTTTACGCGCTGCAGGAGCCGATGTACCATCGCCCTCAACATCGCCTGCGCCACACGGCGCTCTACACGACGAAGGGGTTTCCTGATCTCCAACATCAGCTGGATGCTCTTCGAGCGCAGCTGGACGCGAGGATGCCTGGGCTTGGAGACCCAGCCCTGGGCGACCCGACTAAGGCCCCCTTGACGGACAAGTGGAAGCACTGGCATGCACGAGCTGAGCTGGCACCCAAGTTAGCCGTCGAACATGACTACGCATTAGTGGAGAGGCTGAGTGAGCGCGCCAAGGGTTCGGCTCCTTCGCCGAAGCCGACGTGCCATGGGGCACCCCATCGGCCTGCTCAGCTACTACGACTCCACCGCCAGGTGGCAGAGCACATCAAGCAGGACCCGACCCTGGCCTTCCAGAGTCTGGCTAGTCCTCTTTTTGAACGCTTCGCACGAGCAGGACGGGAGGGGCACTTCGCAGTACCACTCTACGGTGTCCCGAACCATGTGGGGGCCCTGGGCCTGCTTAGCGCTGGTATTGCCCAGCAACGACGACGCATGCAAGAAGCTCAATCTCGTGAGTGGCGGAAGCGCTTCGCCAGCTGGACGAAGGACATCTACAAGTTAGCTGCTCCGCTGTTCAGGGCGTCCTCGCCGGCGGCCCCAGCGGACGCTGCCGAGATGCACCAGGAGTGGGAACAGCAATGGGCCCCATATCCTGTTCAACACGACGCTGCTGGCCACTTCGTACGGTGGCAAGAATGGGCTGCCGATGTTGCTTTCCCCCAATCCACAGAGGAGGAGCACTGGTTGCCCAGCTTCGAGCAGTTTGATAATATTCTTGCGAAGTGTCGTGGAGCTCCTGGGCTGGACGGATGGACGGCCATGGAACTGAAGTTACTGCGACGCCTATTCCCCGACATGATCGTTCAGTTGCACGAGCTCTGGTGCGACGCCAGCCGCGAGTGCGTGGGCGCTCAGGGTATCTTGGGCAAGGACACGCTGCACATGATCTTTCCTTGGGGAGTGGTGGGGGGCCAAGAAGGTGAAGTTGAATTTCGTCCTATCTCGGTGGGCTGAATCTTGGTCCAAGCGTGGCTTTCAGCCCTATCGGCAGGGATGCCGCAGCCTCCAGACAACCAGCACGCATGACGTATCGCGACTAGCGTGGTCCATGCGATCAGCAGTTGGCTACGCTCATGCGAAGCCGCCGAGGCAGGTGCCGGGGTGGATCTCAGCAGAGCATACGATAATATCGACCACGCAGTGGGAGTTCAAGCATGCATATGTTCAGGGGCTACGCCTGCGGTGACTTTTACCGCGGTGGCGGCCTGGACAGCCCCCAGATATTGCAGTGTCAATTCTTCTTTGGCGCCGCCGATCTGGCCGGCCCGAGGGCTTCCTCAGGGCGACTCGGTGGCCCCTGCTACGATGATCGCGGCGCTGGTGCCCTGGCAACCTCCTGTGGGCTACGCTTTCATGGGCGAAAGGCCCCTCGCCTCCACTTCGGCGCAGGAGCTGGCCAGGGATCTGGATTGCACCCGGCGCTTCGACAACGACGCCGGCTTCAAGGAAAACGTTCGCAAGCGTCAGATGTGGGCTCGATCCGACCGCCCCCCCCCCCCCCCCACGGCTGTGGAATATCTTTGGATTGTGGCGACACCTGCAGACGCATCGCGACCAATTCAGCCTCGAGGAGGTTGGGATCAGCTTCGTACGGCGATCCGAATGCTCGGTGCGGCGCCAGGAGGTGCAGAGATCCGTGCTCGGCTTGCAGTAGCACGCATTCGCCCGCAGTGGTTGCGGGCTTGCCCGCTGGTGGCGCCGCCGCCCGTGTCGACTTGCAGATCCTTGTGTCAATCCATCGCCCGTTCGACCAACAGATGGTGGTGCTATGGAAGATGGTGGGCGAAACATGTTCATGTACATCCGCGCCTGTCAGGTGCTCTTCAGGCTGCCCAAATCATCTCGCAGGAGCGCCTTGTCTGGTCGACCTTCATGGAGAATGTGATGAGTATGCGCGCCCAGGTGTTGGGCCTTCAGTTTATTTCCTACGCAGATCGTCGAGGGCGTTGTCTCGAGGTGAGTGACATCGACGACCGCAGAGTTGTGGAGGTGCTGGAACGCGTCGTGGACCAACGGAGGAGGTTCTGGACACATCGGCCAGACCACCCACGCTACGACAAGAAGGTCGAGCATCTTACGCTGTGTAGCGAGGATCAGATGTTTGGCAGAGGCCAATGACAAAATGGTTCGGCGCTGAGGAGATCCTCGATGTGGATGTGGACGCAGAGTCGAATTTGGTGTGCAAGAGTTTCTTCCAGCATCTCGGAGAGGGTGAACGCATGTTGGTGCGTATCTTTCGTGCTGGAGATGTGTCCTGCGCGCAGATGCTCGGGGAAGGAATGTCGTCACTACTGGGCAGAGTGCCCAACGTATCACTTTTCAAGAGCTGGCATTGCCCGACGATATGGGCCACCCTTCAACTGGTGGTCTACTGCACCGCGGGTTCCGGCAACATAGGGCAGACGGAACCTGCGGCCAAGCTGGCCGCCGCCGTCGAGATGGCGATGGTAGCGCTGGGCACCGACATGGCTGAAAGGCTACATCCTCTGGACCATGGCCGTCCTCAGGACGGTCAGGTAGTTGGAGTTTGATTTCTTACCCTTGTGGGGTTACTCCAGAGGTCGGACACCCCGCGTTCGCCATCTTCTTCTCCCAGGATCATCCTGTCAAAGTCTGTCCTGATCAGCCTGGAGGGCTTCCTGTTTGATCTTTGGATGGTGAGTGCGCAACTTTTCCTTCCGTCTGGGTGGAGATATCGCTGGTAGCGCTTCTCCACTTTCTTAGAGTCCGCCTCTGGGAGGGAGCTCCACGTTCCGTGTTTGTGCGTCCTCCGCTTCCCATTCGCCCGCGCTGTTGCTGACGGCGTCTGGCTCTTTCGCTTCGCCGCCTGCCAGCCGCTTCGGGGCGATCTCAGCGCGGGCCCTCCGCGCCGCTCTTCTCGTGGCTCCTCTCCCGTAGGAATTGTAGCTCGTGTAGTTGGGCTTGAGTCGGGCCTGTTCCTTTGAGGCCCCGCTCGGCATGCTCGCGCCCCTCTGCATGGAGCTGGCTGCCGCTGCCCAGCCATGGCACGCGCGCGACCTGCGCCCGGCCGCCCTCCGAGGTCCCGAGCCCTCGCAAGAAGTTGAGAGCGCCCCCCAACGAGGGCGCCGAGTCTGCCGCGAGCTTTTTCCATGGACCTCGATGCCAAGAGGCTCGAGGCTGAGAAATCAGACAAGGATCTGCCCCTGCCCGCCCTCCTCGCACGAACTGGTCGCCTGGTTT